TTTTTTGGTTAACATCTCTGCATACCAGGCCTGTAACTCAGGGTTTTCCCCAAAGCTTGTTTAAATCATGTGCCTTCTATCAGGGAAGAACATAGTTCCATGGTCTAATTCATCTGGGAAATGCCAAGCCAAACCAGGTAAGACAGATTGCTTTATTGTAGTATATAATTTCTTGTTAGCATTGTTTTCATTTATTAGGGAGTTTTGTGAATTTCTAAGAGATAGGTATTGTGAACATTTTTCCATATTGAGCATTTTCAGAAACTAATCTGTGCTACACACTTTGGCACACCTACTTTGGGTCTTTTCTCACTTAACTAAGTGCAGATAAGTTCTCTTTTTCTGGAGGTAAATTTGTGAAGACACTTCTCTTGGGTTTTAGAAATTGGTTTTGAACCCCTCTGTAATGGATGAGATTCCTGATAGAAGAGGAGACACTGATGGGCTGCACTAAGGTACTACTAATTTATTGGCCAACTCATTTACTCATTCATTTATGCGCTCATTATTTCACAGAGACACATGGAGCCCAGGAAAGTAACTATAACATAAAGATGATTGAGAAAGATGATTTCTCTTCGTTAAGTTATCCAAATAATACACATTGATCACTATTTCCCACAGTAATTTTAATAAATGGAAGCCACATGTTATGGACTAAATTGTATTGCTTTCAAAGTCATATGTCTGAGTCCTATCTACTAGTACCTTATCATGTGACTGAATTTGGAAATAAGGTCCACATTAAAGAGGTAATTAAGGTTAAATGAGGTTATAAAGGAGGGTCCCTAATCCAATACAATTAGTGCCCTTATAAATAGAGGGAGTGACACCAGAGATGCCTGGGCATAGATAAAAGGCCATGTGAAGACACAGCAAGAAGGTGTCCACAACAAGCCTAACTAAGTAAGAGAGAGGCCTCAGGAGAAATTACACCTGTTGACACCTTGATCTTGGATTTCAAGCCCCTAGAACGTGGAGAGAATAAAAATTTCTGTTATTTAAGACACCCGGTCTGTGGTATTTTGTAATGACAACTGGAGCAAATCAAAGCACCACTGTTAATTGTTTATTAGGTCCTTGCCTTCAAGAGCTTTCCTCAGCTAGTTGTAATATCTACCAAGCCTTTATAATTCCTTTATTTATATTTTGGAAGAATTTTATCAAAACCAACTAGATTGTAAACTTCTTGAGAACAGGCCTTTGTCCATTGTATAATTGCATTTTCACACTGACTCACAGATAGCAAACAGTAGTAGAATAAATATATCATCTACATTTCTACTTTTATCTGTACATTAGTAATTGAGAGATGACCTAATATATCTCTTGGAGAGAGCAAGAAATAAGAAAAAGAGAACCACAAAGTGTTAAACCCATAGTTAGAAGTTTCAAATGTCTTCTTATTTAATACTTTTCTTCTATTTTGAGATAAATATCTTTATCCCATTTTGCAGATGAAGAAACAGAGTTCAGAGAGGGATCATAAAATCATAAAATGTCCTCAGTTGCGTAATTTCAAGAAACAGAAAATCTGGCTATACAGCAGAACTAATCAAAAATAACTGAAAATTTTAGTGGACTACATGTTTATTTCAATGAGATCCTTATAAGTGATACAGCCATCAAAAAGTTATAGTAGTGTTAAGTTGTGCAAATAAAAATGACTATACAGCGTTATTGGTCACTTACTGTCAGGCAGTGATCTTGGTAACACATATTCAAATAGTCGTGTATACATAGAAGCAACTCCTGCATTTTATGGGAAAATAACTAAAGTCTTCATTTCCTTAAACTTAAAGATTTTAAGATTAATGATATCATCATCATAGTCATTTTCTTCTCCATTAATAAAGTTAGGCTTGGAGGAAAAAAAAAATGAGTGCTGACTTCCTTCTGGAGCTATTCTGAACAGCAAAATAAACCATCATCAGGTGAACAGACAACCTACAGAATGAGATGAAATTTTTGCAATTTATCCATCTGAAAAAGTTTAAAATCCATAATCTACAAGTAACTTAAATAAATTTACAAGAAAAACAACAACCCCATTAAAAAGTGGGCAAAGGATATGAATAGATACTTCCCAAAAGAAGACATTTATGGAGCCAACAAACATATGAAAAAGAGTTCAACGTTACTTATCGTTAGAGAAATGCAAATCAAAATCACAATGAGATACTATCTTACACCAGTCAGAATGGCTATTACTAAAAGGCAAGAATCAACAAATGCTGGTGAGGCTGTGGAGAAATAGGAATGCTTTTGCACTAGGATGGAAATGTAAATTAATTAAACCATTGTGGAAGACAGTGTGGCGAGTCCTCAAAGACCTAGAACAAGAAATACCATTTGACCCAGCAATCCCATCACTCGGTGTATACCCAAAGGAATATAAATCATTCTGTTATAAAGATACATGCATATGTATGTTCACTGCAGCACTATTCACAATAGCAAAGACACAGAATCAACCCAAATGCCCATCAATGATAGACTGGATAAAGAAAATGTGGTACATATACACCATGGAATACCATGCAGCCATAAAAAATAATGAGATCATGTCCTTTTCAGGGACATGGATGGAGCTGGTAGCCATTATCTTCAGAAAACTAATACCAAATACTACATGTTCTCATATACAAATGGGAGCTGAACAATGAGAACACATGGACACAGGGAGAGGAACAAAACACACTAGGGCCTGTGGGGTGGGGTCTGGGGCAAGGAGAGCATCAGGACAAATAGCTAATGCATGTGGGGCTTAATACCTAGGCAATGGGTTGATAGGTGCAGCAAACCACCGTGGCACATATTTACCTATGTAACAAACCTGCACATCCTGCACATATATCCCAGAACTTTAAGTCAAAAAAAAAAAAATAGTCTGGTAGAGAAACATGTCAATTCTCTCATCATCATTACAAAGGAGTCTTCACCAGGAAATTGTTGTTCAATTTGAACCCTTCTCTATATTGATTCTTTTATAATTATGTTAAGAAAATTCACTCTCCACATTTCAAAGCTGATAACATTACCTATTTTGAAAGGATTGCCTATTTATTTTGCCTTTATCAGCAAGAGAAGCTCATCCTTAATGCCTATCATTGGGCCAGGCATTAGCAGAAGCTTCTTAAATACAATAGGATATGCCTGAGTGTTTTTCTTATCTGGGATCAGTGTTTCTTGAGAAGTACCTACAGAGATACTCTGAACTACTTGTGAGTTAGTATGACGATAGCAAGCATCATTAGAGGAATTAGAGTAGATAATCGGTCTGCATGCACCAGAGAGGTGCAGTTATGTGATGTGATGGAGCTACCCAGAACCAAAAATGACAAATTAGAGTTACCGTGTTGTGGGGCATCTTGAAACACTACAGAACAGTCCTAGTGAGGACGGGTCAAGAAAGACTCTGCATTGATGAGTACAATGTACCCAGAAAAAAACCTAGCCTGTTGGAAGATGTGTGTGTGTGCGTGTGTGTGTGTGTGTGTCAAAAGCATCCAGAAAATTACATTGTTGTGGCTATGAACACTTAACTAGTAAATAAGAAAGACATGGTGGCAGGAAGGAAAAAAAAATTATCCAGAGGGTGTTCCATTCTGCCGTTCAGAACATTGTGGTTGCTCAAATAATATTAATGCTCTATGATGAAGATGGTAGCGAGGATGATGATGATTAATGCAACCCATGGAAATAGGGCTGGGGAGGATGACATGGGCGAGGGACCAGGATAGGGAGGATGACTCACGGGTGAGGGGTACCTGGGGATAGAGCGAGGTGCTGTGCACGTTGGCGCGTGTGGGGGGAGCGGCCGGGGCACGCGTGGCTTGGACCCCCGGGAGTGGGCGGGTGGGTGCCCGTGGGCGGAGCGGCTCCGGGGCTGAGTGGCTGGCAGCAATGTCTGCGAGAGCGGCGGCATCACCCTGGATGGAAGCCTCCGAGACTCCGCCTAACTGACACCCAAACTCACCCTCTCCCTCCCGCAGCCCCAAACTGGAGGCAGCCGAGCCTGGGAGCAGCCTCCGCGGCGGCAGCGGCAGCGGCAGCCCCAGCCCTAGCCCCAGCCCCGCCCCCGCCCCCGCCCCGTGCACCGCCGGAGACGCCCGGATCGGCGGAGCCTGGCGCGAGCCCTCGCCCCCTCGCCGCGCCTGCCGCGCCTCCGCCTTCCCGCCCCCGCCTGCCGAGGCTGGGCTGCGGGAGGCGGCCGGGCGGCCCCGAGCCTCGCTAGGGCGACCAAAACAAAGGCAGCATCCGGGGCTGGGTGGATGCAAACAACCATGAAAGACTGGGTTCTCGCTCTCCCGGGCTCTGCTGCTGCTGCTGCTGCTGCCGCCGCCGCCGCCGCCGCTGCTCCTCCTCCTGCCGCCGCCGAGAGGGCTCCGCTGTGAGGGGAAGCAGGGGCGCAGCTGCTGGGCGTGCATCCGAAAGGTGAGAGCCGGAGAGCGAGCGGAGGGGGCGGGCAGGCCATGAAAATGTCCTCGGCCGTGGGGCCCCGTGGTCCTCGCCCACCCACGGTGCCTCCCCCCATGCAAGAGCTGCCCGACCTGAGCCACCTTACCGAGGAGGAGAGGAACATTATCATGGCAGTTATGGACCGGCAGAAGGAAGAGGAGGAAAAAGAAGAAGCCATGCTCAAGTAAGCCAGCCCCAGCCGTGCCATCTGTGCCTACGTGCCTCCATCCGTCCATTCACCACTCACTCCCCCAGTCCTGGTAGCTGAGTGTGGGGAAGGGGCGGCCAGGGTGCTGGGTGCGGGCAGAGGCGCCTGCCTTGGGCCAGGGGCGCGGGCTTGAGCAGGGAAGAGGTCAGGGGACCAGAGGAGGGAGGGGATATGCCACAGAGCCAGGAAAGACCTGGGTGCAGAGGAGGGTTGGGTGGACGGGGGTCACTCTGGTGGTGGGAAGTGCAGAAGCTGAGAGGCGCTGTTCCCACCCAAGTGGAAGGTCCCTGAGCTGGGAGCAGGTTAGGGGGCAGGGGAAGAGTAGAAAGAAGGGGAGGCTGGATGAAGAGGTGCTGAGGACAGCTCCTCTTCTCTTGGAGTTGTTTAGCTGTTCGGGGTTACCCCAGTGAAGGGTGCCTATATTTATATCATAAAAATGCTTATTTTTAGTGTTCATTTTCGTAATCATTCATCTCACAGATCAAGGTTGGGTCTTTTTTTGGGCAGTTGCCATCTTTGGCAACCTGCCTCCCCAGCTTCTCTTTAACCTTTTATTCAGAGTCTTCTACACAGCATACCTGTGTGAAGACAGATTTTCTTACCCACATGTAATGCTATTGGCAATACAAAGTTTTTAATCATGGGAGAAGCTGGCAGGGACTCTGGCCTAAATAACATAGAGGTTCCTTTTTACTGGTTTCCAAGAGACCTCTGGGGCCTGTTCAGTTCCTGGAGGAAACAGTCCAGTAATGGATTGGATATTTGCACTCCTCCTCACTTCTTTAGAGCCCATCAACCATTCAAGGGATCTCTGGTGCCCCATTTTTCTGGGGTCAGGGAGAAGATGGGGCTCCTTGCTGGTGATGCAGGAGTGTGTGACACTGTTCTGCTGCTTGCCTCAGACAAAACTGCTTACAAGGGACTGGCAGAGAGATGGGGCTTTCCTTGCTTAGCATCACCCATAGAGTAGTGCTGAAGAAGGCTTCAACCCTGCCTTCTGTTGGGAACTTTCCTTCAGGTATTCAGGAAAGTTTTCACTCTGGGGCAGGGGAATTTAGGGGCCTTCACTTGGTGTCCTTGGTGTCTCCTGCTTAGGCTGGAAGGTGTATCTGGGGCCAGGGGATTGGCATGAAGAGCCAATGGGAACCTGTTGCATCTGGAGTTAGCTGATAGCAAAAGAGGGGTAGAGAAGGAGCAGCGGTGACACCCAGACACAGAGCACACTCAGCATGGCCTCTCCCCCACACTCTAGAAGAGCCTCCTGGAGAGAAGATGCTGCCGAGGAAGATTTCTTCCACCTCCCCTCAGTGCAGCAGTGCCTCATAGGAGAGGAATGGGGGGAGGCTGCATTCACAGAATGATGGATCTCCCACCAGGGCAACTGACACACAGATAAGGGAGGGAGATCTTGAGAGAGACATGTGGATGTTAGGTCACAGCAAAATAGTATACATCCAGTTATTCCTGTCCTTTCGTTGTAGATTCAGAAAAGGGCCATTAACTCTGAAGGCCAGAGCTGGCCTGGTTCTATAAAGAGCAGCAGGTTTCTGAATTCCCTGCTCCTTCTCATCCAAAAATCAAGTACTTTAAGCCTGCCGGCTTGAGGGAGGCAGAACCCTTGTTAATCTGCTGCCTGTCCCTAGTGGAAGAATGATGTCCCTGGTGCTGCAGGCTTCCCCTCTTCTGAGACTGGTAGTAATGGATGGTGTCTGATGGTGCTGCTGTCTGTTTGTCTGGTTGTCAGTCCGTCTGTCTTCACCGGTTGCAGCGCGTGCCACCTGTCCTGAACACCTTTTCTGGTTGTCAGGATTTACAGGTTTGCTGCTGTTCCTTTTGGTGTTTGCTGCAGACAGCAGGTGGATGGAGGCCTCCAGCAGCTAGTGGAAAATATGGGCGGCTGTTTGCCAGAGTCCGGATAGGAAGGGGAAGGCACAGTGCAAGTAGTGGCCATCACGCTTCTTCATTGGCTGTCTCAAGCGTGGTGTAGAGTGAGGGATTTTAACTGGGAGTGGGTGAGTTTTAGACAGAATTCCAAATATTCTAATTGCCAAAGGACAGCAATTATAAGATTGTATGGGCTTATGTGGACAAATAAATTTAGGAGCACTGTCCAACTGCCCATGTCTAACATATCTTTTCCACTGCTTCCCCTGTGACTGCTTTCTACTGGTTTGCATATATTGTTCTTTTATTGCATGGATTCACAAAATATCACAGTATGTGATGCTGTTATACAACAGCTGTCTATAGTCCTGGACCTCTGCATTAACTTTATCAATCAGCCTCCTCTGCTAATGTCTTGGCCTTTTGTTCAATGACAGATTGGTGAGTGTTTTGGAATCCCTGTTTGCTGCCATGTAAGCATGTCATATTGTCTGCAATTAGTGTAAAAGTGCTCTTCTTTTTTTTTATGGGGGATACTTTATGTCTTAAAAACTGGGGATAAGGGGAACTATTCAGATGACACATATATATGGGACTTAATGACACATAGTCATAGATGGTGACCTTTTAAAAACTTTGTGTTAAAATAGGTGGGAAAGCAGGATTCTTTCAGAGGGCTTTAAAATATTGTTACGTCAGAGAAAAGTTTTTGTGGTAATTATTGGTGATTATAATCATGTATCTGAGAAATTACTTTCACAAAAGGCCCTACAAAGCTTAAGTTCTGGCAATAGAGCAATTAGACTTAAAATTCACTTTTGTTATCAGTGTAGAACTATCTCCTTAAGCTACCTACTGTGCTTGCTATCTCTCTTTACAACGTGTAAATAGACACAGTGAAAAAATAGAAAATGATGGGTGAATATGAGAAACCAACATTATAAAATATCAATTAAAATGTGTTTGTAAGTTTCATTGGCCTTGATTGTAAATTAGTACTTGAATTTGGTTTTGAGAATGTCTTTAAATATGTATAAATGGCAAAAAATCAAGCTATTTACATATCAAGATTTTTGAAACATTTTACTTGAAATTGAAAGTACTTCATTATAAAAAAAATTCATTTTGTTGGCAAAGTACACTGATTTTAAATTCCATTGCCATATAACTAGAAATAGTTGGCTCTCACAAATTATGTTTGATGATTGACTTAATTATCTGCAAATTAGAGATCTTTTCTTAATAATGTTTTGGATTTGAGTGTGCATGTGTGTGCATATGTGTGCACACACACATGTGTGTTCTGAAGGCTTTCTGAAACCTAACTTCCTCAATGAATATTCCTTCAAGTAACTTTTACTAGACATCATGAGCTAATGTATTACGTAGGCTGAAAACTGCACTATCTGGGACCTAAGTCAGGGAAGATCTCGTTAGATCTAGAATCTTACTCCTTTTTGAAAAAAAAAAAAAAAAAACTTCACAGAGAAAGCAGCTACCAAATAGTAAGAGAAGAGAAAAAATATGGAGAATTAGTTAAGGTGATGGTTTGAGGATGAGAATTGAGTACCATACTGGAATTTAATGTAAATAGTTAGCATTTATTGAACATTAACCTCATACGAGCTCTTATTCTAAGTTATTTAATCTAAAGCCAAATAGTTAAACTGTGCTCAAGTTTAATATAAGTATAAATATTTGGATTCTCACAATAGCCTGTGCAGAAGGTAAGCCAGATAATATAATTCTCACATCCTCACAGTACACTCAGAGAATTTTAGTAATATTCTAAATTGACTCACATAACATGGGTCCAATCAGGATTCAAAATCAGACCCTTTAGTCAAAATCCAAGTATTTTCCCATACACTACACTGTCTTCCTACCAAGAAGAAGCTTCTGTTTCATTTATCTTTTCTTCAAATGAATTTCTAGTCTTTCCTTAGTTCAGAGAAGTGGCTTGGCAAAAGATTAGGCTGATTCAGATCAGCTGCTGATCACAGCAGAGCCTGGGGCTTCACCTATACCCTTTCACAGAGTATAAAGATAATAAAAAGCATCACAGTATAGTGGAAAGACCATTCACTTTGTATCCAAGTATTTTTACATTCTAGTTCTGCCACTTACTGTGCAAACGTGGGCAAGAATATTACATCAATATTATATAAAGTTTCATTTTTTCCTACCAATCCTTCAACCCATGGTATGAATTGATTTATAAAGAGTATTGACTTTGGGCTTCTCCTTCTCTTCTTAAAAGGTAACCTACAATTTTCTTTCTAATCATCCGTAATTGCTACTGGTTGTTTTTTTTTTTTTTTTTCCTGGAAAAGAGACAGAAAGTAGAAGGAGAAGAATTCCTGTAACTTCAATTTTCCTCCTTCTTTTTGTTACTTTACACAAATATAATATTGTGGCCTGAAATATATCCATAAGGCTCATTATGAGAGATGCCAGTTACCAACCGGAAAAAGAAGAAAAGTGAAAGGAAAAACCGGGGAAACTTGAAAGGGATGAGGATAGAGTTCCCAAGTATGCAGGAATCATATTTTCATTGGGTTTTGCAAATATTTTAATATCTTACACCCCAAAATATGAGAAAAGCATTATTTAAGTAAATAGATTACTAAATTTGAAGGAGAGCATGGAAACCAGTGTGGGCTGGATGTGCTACTGCTGACTTGACTAATAGAAGGATAATGTCTTGGGAGTGTTATTTGCTTAACTTTTTAAATGAGGAGAACAATTTGTGTAAACTTGTACAGTGAACTTTCTGGAAATATATCAAATATTAATTCCTAAAATCATATTATTATTCTCTCATACCTATAATAAGCAGATGAATGAAGTTGCACTACCACGGATTATATTGTCCGTTGTATTGCGTTTCATTTGTCCTCATGGACTGTTTTCTACTTTATACATTTGGTCCTGTGATATCAATTGGGTATTTAAGAGCTGGTCCTGAGAGTCGAAGTAAATTTGCCTGAGGCACGTGGCAGCTGCTGTAATGACTCCAGAACCCATGTACACTGACCTCAAACCATTAGTGTTCTTTTAAGTCTTTAAAAAGGTACATTGAGTGGTGGGTA